AAAAAAAAAAAAAAAAAAAAAAGGGAATGCTAATGGGTTCATATTCATCATATATCTCTCCCAATAAAATTGACCAATATACAAGCATAACTAAATGATAAAAAAATTAACAACCATCTCAAATAAAAGAAAAAAAAAGAGGGGTGATTTCACATGGTCCCCAGACTCCGAGTCTACAGTTCAGTTTTGCCAAGGCAAGGAGATCAGTTTATTATTGACATTGATACAACCAGGGGAAATAGTTGGGCAAGCAAAAGCTCCAACTCTTATCATCACCTAAATTCCATTCAGGGTGACCACAATATTGCGTGCAGTGGGGTGGTCTCGGTGCTCACATAGCCATATTCCCTGAAGCATCCAAAGTCCAATCAAAATAAGCCATTAAATTTTAAACTAAAAGTTTCATCTGTCCTAGCATGTGGCATTCCGTATATAAATCCATTCGACACATTGAACGAAGGATAGAAACCCTCCCCCAAACCTCAGACCTATTCATCAACCCTCCCCCATCTGATCTCTCAGGTCTACTAAATGCAGAAGAATTTCATACACACAGACTTCAAATCCTTAAAACTTCATGTCAGAACTTATCCTGATCCATTAGGCATTACCTTTGTTTCAATATGATAAAAAAGAATTATATTAAAGACCGGAAATATGCAAACACTAATTTGATATTGCTAATTCAACTAGGTGTAATAAAGAAAAGTCAAATCAAGTTAAACAACACTACAGATGTTTTGGTTTAATATAAGCCCCCAGTACGTGTACATATGTAAGAGTGGGAGAGGGAGCGAGGGAGTCCATCATATGGCTGGTTTTTGCTGGTAACACATAAGATAAGCCAATAAAGGAATGGATAAGCAGCTAATTACAAAACTATGTAAGAGAGAGAAAGAGAGGAGTCCATCATATTTTTGCTAGAAACAATCAGATGCCTGGTTGTTGCTGGCCTTTTATTTTAAAATATTTAATTAAAAAAGAAAAAAAGAAGAAAGAAAAAAAAAAAAAAGAGCAAGTTGCTTACAAGTTAAAAGTGGACAAGTGAAAAAAGCCGAAAAACTAGGGGGTAAAGGAGAATCCACCTCCTCATGAATACTTTGGAAAGATTCATAATATTCCTCTGGTAGTAATGGAAATGCGGTCAGTTCTTCAACTTCACACAAAATCTAGCGATGCTAGGTAATAATTCATACATATAAATCCCTAGAATCAATCCTTAGATACTAGGCAATATTTTCCTCAGTTAAAAATATACATAAATATTCCTTGAATCAAGGTCATTCTTTCAACACTCTCCCTCAATCTGAGGAATAGATATTATCCTTTTGTTAGTATATCGGTTAGTTGTAGTTATAGGGTACATAACTAATGCATACTATCCCCTTCTCCATGCTGGATAGGATTATGTGCAATGTGGATAGCTGATTTGTTGTCGCAGTACAACTTTATCGGATCTTCTCCCTTCAATTGTAAATCATCAAGGATCATCTTCAACCATAAGAGTTCACAAAACCCTTGTGCAATAGCTCAAAATTCTAATTCAACAGATAATCTAGACACCACATTTTGCTTTTTACTCCTCCATGTTACCAAATTAACTCCAAGAAAGGTACAATACTCCATGGTAAATCTTCGGTCTACAAATGATCCAACATAGTTAGCATTAGTGTAATCTTCCAATGCAATGGAATAGTTCCGTTTGAACAAAATTCCTTTTCCTGAAGTTCCTTTCAAGTAACATAACACTCTATATGTAGTCTGAAGGTAAGGTTCTTGCGAATCATGAATGAATTGATTAATTACACTTACGGAGTATGCTATGTCTAATCTAGTGTGAGCTAGATATATGAACCTCCCCACTAGCCTCTGGTACATTTCTCTGTTCATTACAGGTTCTTCTTTTGACTCTCCCAATTTCTAATGTGGATCCATCGATGTTGGTGCAAGTTTACCTATACTTTTCTTTGTTTCCATCAATAAATCCATCACATATTTCTTCTTGTGATATGAAAATGCATTGAGCTGAGTACGCTACTTCAATGCTAAGAAAGTACTTTAGTTTTCCAAGTTATTTGATCTCAATTTCTTTCATCAATTTCCTTCTAAGTTCAAGTTTTTCTTCTTCATTATCTCCAGTGACTATATGTCATCTAGAAGTATTGCAACCCTCCTAGATTTTGAGTGCTTGATGGGTTTAAGGTAGTTTGCAGAAGAATCTTGATCATGACGGATGGTCGGCAATGACGAAGGTTTCACCGATTGTATTAGGGTTTTGGTTCTAATAAAATTTTCTAGAATAGAAAAGCTTTAATATCATGTTGCAATACAAACTATCACTTATTTTCAAAGAGATACATATTCGTTTTATAATACAAAAAAGACCAAAAATATATTCCTAGATACCTGGTAAAATAAAATTAAGCTAACCCTAGATATTAGGTAATAATACATATAAATAAATCCCTAGAACCAATCCCTAAATATTACCTCTGTTTAAAGGGATTACAAAAATATCTCTCAATTATATAAATATTTCTCTTGAACATTCAATTCAGTTTTGAAAGAAAAACGAAAGAAGGATTTAGCTTTGTCTACGGGATAAAATTCTTAAGATGGAGAAGAATACTTTAATGTTGCTTGAATGAATAGAAAAAATTACTGAAGAAATAAGCTCATAGAAGAAGAGGCATCCAAGTGAGTGCCAACATGAAGTGGCAACAAATCCTACATTGATTAGAGAACAAAGAGACTCAAACAAGCTCATTCTCAACGGGAAGGATTGCATTACAGGAGAATATTTGGAGTTGCCAATTTACCCAAGGGAATATTCTGACACTTGAGTGTTCAACATAGAATGATCTTTTTAGTTGAATCATCTTACTGAAGCAGAAACACAAAAGACCACAAGTGTCAATTTAGAAGAAGTATTCAATTGGATTGAAAGGATGGATGGGAGAAAACTGATCCCAGATTGATTTTAAATTTCCACTGTTATCAAAATTTCAGTCATCTTAAGAAGGCTTTACGTGGACATTTCTTGTTCTTAACAGGAAGGTAGCAGCCTCTAAGGAAAAAGCCATTTTGAAGCTTTGGTTGCACTCTTGGTAGACATGTACCACGAAGTACAGGTGGGAAAAAGCCATTTTGAAGCTTTGGTTGCACTCTTGTATATTTTTTCGTTCATTTTCTTACGAAATTTTTATTATCAATGAAAATTTGTCTCCAATTAAAAAGAGGAAAAAGAAATAGAGCTTCAACAGGCAAGAATGAGGGATGAATATTTGAATCATGTTTCAAAGGGCCAAAAAGATTCATGTTTGAAGAGTGGAGATCTAAGAAGATCCAGGTAGTTGGCATTACTTTAATTCAAAGTACAAAAGTGGCAAGGCTATGTTTCATCTGATCAGGGTGGGAATTCATGTAGAGGCTTTATATCCATTTCCAATCATGACTTGAACCAATAAATCTCGTGGATTTCCTTATAACCCTAATCAGGAACAGAACTTCTTTATAAATGACATGCTAACCTCACGAAAGCCATCTACAATTACAACGTCAGATACTAAGTTAACCTGGTGATTGAACATTAAAGTACTTTTCCCATGCATTTCCAAACTTTTCCTTAAAGGATACAGCATAAAGTGAACCAAAAATGATAAAACAAGTAAAAAAAAAAAAAAAGAAAAAAAGAAAAATCTGAAACACGGGCCCTACTTTTCATTTACTGTAGAGGTTATGAATCAACAACCTAACAAACACAAGTAGTCCTATCAATTAAAAAAATTAACTTAAACATATTAATTTGTTCTAACTAAATAAGATAAACAAATATGCACGAACAAAAAGAAAATATATAAAACAAGATGAAAAAAGAAGAGCAGAAGAAGTAAGAAGAGAAGTTTTAAGTGAGACGAGAAGTTTAATCATAGGCAGAGAGAAAAGTTGAAAACCCAAAACTTCGGAAAGGTATGGATTACCCTTGTTCATGAGTATATAAGAATGCTAAGGAGTGATTTATTCTCATACCAAAATTACAAATTGTGTACCAAACAAAGGAATAACGAACTCTTTTCCATTCTCACTATTAACAAAAATTGTTAGTTTTTTATTTAACGGAAAAACTATAATTAATAATAATAATATTATTATTAATTAAAAAAAAAGACCTACTAAACTGTACCTGCCAAGTACCCATATTAAACTTTCCATTTGTAATTGGAACCCTACAAAAGAATAACCACAAATGAGAACAGCAGGTCAACTAGGCATTTAATCCAGAAACTATGTAGAATAACCCACGTGAGTGCACAGCCAAACATTGATGATTTAATGTGCGCGGGCATGTCATCCGGGCCTGCATAATGAGCACAAGAACAAGAGAATTTTTTTGTCAATATTCCCCAGATCCATCTTAGTTGAGTATAAACTAGAGAGTAATGTTTTTAGAAAAAAGAGAGGCTTTCCAAACACTCTCTTCCCCCAATCCTATATTTCTTATGAATTTTATATGTGATGCTGAGGCACTTGCATTTCTATTTGAAAATTTAAATCTAAAAGCATGCAACAAAGAGTTTTTTGTGGTATATCATATGTTTTGATAGTCGTTTTATTAGTCTAAGATTCATTCAGTAACTTCCAGCAAACAGGTCAAAGAATCCTTTTTTTTTTTTTTTTTGTTGAAAAAAATCTTTATGCTTCCTATTCTTATCCAAACCAGTATACATATAAGTTCGCAGTTACCCCTTCAATCATTTTTAGACGGCATAGAAGTATAGAACTTTGAAGGCTCAGGAGTGAGTTAGGCTTTTACGAAGATAACCCGTCAAATTAAAATGAGATTACTTCGCATAAACTCTGTTTCAGCCTACTTCCTCTTTATATATTCTTAACATTGGTTGGTCAATTTTACATTTTTCCGACTTTTTTCATAAACTACCGCACATCTATGATAGTCCCTCCTCCCTCATAGCCAGTCAGCAGATTCATTAGCATCCTATACATTACAAGAATTCAAATTGTGTTACAATGTTATGACGGAGACAAAATCCCGGGCCCTTTTTATAGTACAGTTTCTTTTTCAGTATATGAAATCAGTTAACTAAAAAAGAGGAAAATTCTTCTTAGTAGAATAAAGTAGAAGGATTTTGATGACCTTCAAGTGTATGCTTCCAAGGAGCAGATGTACCCTGCAAACAAACCCCCAAATGAAAGAGTGGGAGAGAGAAACAAAGGGTCAAATGGGAAAGCTTTCGATAAATGAGAGTTGCAAATGATAGATGCGGTTAGCAAACTAACTTCAGGCACTATATTGTTGAGGAAGGTTTCAGTATCACTCCGAACATCCGAATCATAGTTTTCATTGATGGTAAGAGAGGCACTCGTATGCTGCACTGAAACATCAGCAAATGATTCCACAAAGAAATCCAACTACACATTAATCTCCAAAATAGAAAAACTAGATTAGAAGATTTACAGAAGATGTGAGCAAGGCCACATTTGAATTCTGACAGGTCATTCCCAATTTCCTTCATTATCTGATATAGAAATCAAACTCAGTAGCAGCAATATGAGGAAAAAATTGCGTACTAAGGTATAAATGAATAATTTTTCGTCTATTGTTCGGAAAAGTGAAACTGAATTATGTAGATGACAGGCACCATTTAAACCCCCAGGAGACCAATACAAGATTCTAGATAAGGTGGGAGAAGATAACCAATTAATCACCTTCGGGGTGATGAGATGACAGCCCCGCCTATGAGGAGGCAGCGTAACAGTCTTCTGAGCCCACTTCGGACCAGCGGCCGCCATCAAGCTTGGATTGCCGGCGCCTGCGGTGGCGGACGGATTACCAGTACTGGAATTGTTGCTCCCCAGCAACTTCACTCGGAGTGGTTGCGCAGCCAAGAGAACAGCGCCTTGCATTATTTTGCAACCTAAAGCCCACAGAACCTTCTTTGATCGACCGACCGCTCATCCGCAAAGCCCAACCGCCTATGATACGTGGAAAGGACAGCCCTACAGGCCGCAATCAGTAATTACATTGAAAAAACAAGCTTAAAATGTTGTAATCTTTTTGCTTAATTTTAATAAAATAAAATTTACACAAAAATAAATTTAATAATTACACAACTAATTATGATTAACTTTATCAAAATTTATAAATTTCAATAAAAAAAAGGGCTATAGTTTATAATTTATTGAGCCATAAAAATATTTTTTCAATGATAATTGGAGTGAAATGTTATTTTAGGGATTAAAATTGCAATCTTTAGTAAAGTTTAAGCTCCGCCCCAATCTTTGTTGGGCTACGTCCTAGAACCTTCTTTTATCGTGAGATTTTCTAATGAAGGCAGAGCATTCTTCCTGATTAACCGGTGATTTTTCTATGCTTCTCTATTTGATTTTTATAGGCGAATGCAATATATATTAGTTCAACGTTCTCTGCCGGGGCAAAAAGAAACAGAGATGGGCAATGAGAGAAAATGGAGACGGTGGAGGCTTTTCATTGTAACGGGAGTGGCAGTCGCTGGTTTTCTGTTTTCTAGCAGCAGTGCTTCACAACTGGATCAACAGAAGGAGCCTCAGCCTGTGGTATCCAGGATTGCTTTTGGATCATGCGCTAACCAGGATACTCCTCAGGTTTGTTTGTCGTCGACGTCGTCGTTGCTGTTTTTTTTAATCAACTCTATCTACTGATCTAATCTGATTCTAACAATTTTGTATTGCGACGTCAAAGATGTGAAAAGACAATGTTGTTATTATAGGAGTAACACTGTACATCGAGTTGTTTTTTGCAGCCAATCTGGAACTCCATAGTCAACTTCGATCCGCAAGTTTTCATTTGGCTTGGTGATAACATCTATGGTGACATTAGGCGTCCTTTCAAACTACTTGGTCGAGAAAGGACGGTGGGGCCATGGAAAAATGTTCCACGATTCGTTCCTTCATCTAAGCAGGAAATGATGCTCAAATACAAGAGGGGCAAGACAATTCCAGGTTATTCTAGGCTTAGACAGAGGACCAAGGTGCCTGATCCGTAAATTCATTAAAAAGTCTCGTACATTATTTGATTTTAACATGACTAAATTTTTGGAGATTAAATGAGGGTGCCTTTGTTTTTTAGTTAGTCTTTGTGCTGTTTTAGGTAATCGGTACCTGGGATGACCATGATTATGGATTAAATGATGCCGGAAAGGAATTTACTGAGAAGGCCACTAATCAGAAGCTCCTCCTTGATTTTTTAGATGAACCCCTTGATAGTCCAAGGTGGGAGTTCCTTTTCTAATTCTACATATTATTTATCTGTCCTAAGGGTTGCTTTTCTTCGGTTTGTCTTATTATCTGCTCTCCATATTAATCTCTTACTTCCATTAACTGATATTAGAAAGTTGACGTTGATATTTAAAATTTTTATTATCTTTATACATACCATTACTCTGTATGGAAGTATCCTGTACTACTTCCACTAACGTTGGGTGATTGGATATGCAAGAATGAACCAGAACACTTTTGGTTCTTTTTTCCTTATACATTTTCTTTTTTTCTATCTAAAATCATTTAGGAAATTCTATAGAAGTCTTAGATTGTTTTTTGTTGAACTTTACTTGTGAGTCCATTTGCCTCGCTGAGTCTCCTATTATCATTTCACCAACATCTGGCGCTGGGCAGGTTTAAGTTTCTTAAATATTTAGTGTTTATCCAGGTGCGATTCAGAAAGCAATACCGATTTGGTAGATCATTTCAATCCCTATTGCTTGTGGAAGAGCTAAATTTCTGTTAAAGAGAGACTTCCATTCTCTTGCGTACAATCTAGGAACTTACAAACCAAGAACTCAAGAAATGCTTCCAAGAGCTCTTACCTTGTGAATATCCTTACTTGAACATAAGCCTTCTCTCCCAAGAACTTGTATCTATCTTATTAATTCCCTCGGTTACTGCATCCTCCCAAGACTTTCGACCTTTGCTACTCGAAGTATCTCAAGTATGCCATGGGCATGCTGCTGAAATTCACGTTGTGCTAATATGCGTGTATTGTAGTTTTTCTCCTATCAATGGGCATGTTAGGAAAGGACATGCGTTAAAGACGGTGTCGTTTGTGTTTAGGTTTAGACATTGTTCAAAGAATTGAAGGGTATGTTGCAATGATACTGCAAAACAAAGCAAATCGCAATCTATGTCATACCAGAATATGATGCATCTAAACTCATATTAGAAGGGAACCTTGTTTCTCACATTCCATGAACTGCAATCGGAGGGTTTACTTTTCTTTTAAGTTCATTTTTTAAACGCTAGAAAAGAGATTTTCTGACCCTTATGGTAATTTTTGTCCATCTGAGGACGTTATTTGTGAGTTTGCTAAGCAACATTACCTATGACACTTCAAATTGATAGTTTATTAGAAAAATAAACATCCTAATACTGCAGTGGTTAGCTTAAAATTCTCGCCATCCTTTTGTCATTTTTAACATTAAAATTATGAAAGGAATGGCATACCCAAGTATATTAGATTGAAAAAAGATTTGTACTTTATTTCTGGGTAAGGCCTACACCTTAGTGTTCGTTGCAATAATTTAAATTTTAGAGCACTGCAATCCTGATTGTTAATTTTCTTCTTTGTAGATTTTTTTTCTGTTAAATTATTAACCATACTTTGCCTTTCTAGGCGCAAGCAGCATGGTGTGTATGCATCATACATGTTCGGCCCTATAGGTAAACAAATTAAGGTACAAATTGTAGCTCTTTCAATGATTCTTGTCTTCATAATTTGGCTTTAATGATGATGTATTTTGATCATATTATGTAATTAGCTTTCAGATTCCATGTTATGACTTGGAGTTTTGTAGGTTATTCTATTAGATACTAGATATCACCGTGATCCGATGTTTAGTGATGGAACTATTTTGGGTGCTGCTCAATGGACGTGGCTGGAGAGAGAGCTTAAGGGTCCGGAGTCAGCAGTTACAATAATTGGGTCATCCATTCAGGTGGCTCAAGCCTACTTTGTCTACTAGCATATGCAACTTTTTCAGTGGATCTGTTCTTACACTTGCTCACCGATAAATCTTATCATGAGACCTCTTCTCTTCCTTGCGTATCTTAGCAGTTGTCAGCTTTATTTTTATGATATCGTGTCATAGTTATTCTACAATTCAGGTTATATCAAATCTTTCAGCAACCACCAGGCCGTTGTTCTATTTGGAGTCTTGGGGACGTTTCCCGAAGGAGAGAGAGCTCCTCTTCAAGTTGATTGCAGATAGCAAGGTAAAAATCTTTAGTGCATTTTTTTATTAAAGTAGCCCCTGCTCTTTAAATTAACGTACTGCACACCAAAAGGAAAAAACACAGTGAGAAATCTCCAATATTTATAATTAAAAAAAAAAAAAAAATTGTCCATGTAATTGATGAAGTAACAATTTAATCTCCATGTTTTCAATTTAATAGAAGTTTAAGTTTCAAAGTTTAAATTTGGTAAAAATTTAGTCACTGAATTTGGTAAAAGTTTCAAAGTTTAAATGTGGTAACAATTTAATCTCCTGTAGGTTAGATTTCTAACAATTTAGTCTTGTCAATTTTTTTTTATTAAGTAATGATTTACTCTAAGTACTTTATAAACACATTTAGTCTTGGATGGATTTATCTATTTTCATACATAAGAAACACCATAATATCTTAACTAATATATATATTTTTTATTGGGACTAAATTATTACAAATTTTTAATTACAAGGGCTAAGGTAGTATTTTTAGACCTAATTTATATATTATTTGTAATAAAGTTCCAGTATGCATTATATTTTCCTTTCTTCCCGTGTTTCTATGGATTAAGAGAAATGGAGTTCTCTTTATAAGCGGAGATGTTCATTTTGGAGAAATTTCTCGCTTTGATTGCGGCGTTGAGTATCCGCTATATGATATAACCTCAAGTGGTCTTACCCAAGCTGTTGAAAGGGTACTTCCGCGACCATTACAATTTGCAGTGAGGTTTCTTGCGTGGGTGACGCCATCTACAATGAGAGTTAAGGAAAGCAACTGCAGATACAAGTCCTGCACGTTCGGTATGCACATGTCGTCGCTTATTTCTTAGATTTTAGATGTTCTTCACTGTGTCATCTCCCTTTCGTGTATGGTTCCTCCTAGGGCAACCAAATTTTGGAGTCGTTGAAATTGATTGGGATGCAACTCCAGTAAGACTTAAAATGGAAGTGCGGGATGCGAATGGGGTTGCTGTAGTAGGTGTTAACATCTCTTTGAGTTCATTGCGTCCAGGAAACAGCGAGTATTTATCCAATAGTAATACGGGAAAGTACCATAGGCATTGTCTTCTGGAAGTTAGTTTGGGATGGATAGTCCGACATCGGCTAGCAATTTTGTTTTATTGTACCTTGACTTGTAAGTTCCGAAATATGCAATTATTTTCTGAAATTCTTTGCTAATAAATTTCTAACCCAGAACTGATGGTTTGTTTCAGTACTTCTTCTTGGTTCGTTGGGAACTGCTTATGTGGCCACATTGGCATGCAGGAGCTGCATCCGCAAATGCAAGCGTGACTAACCGGGCCTTTCCCCTTTCTTTCTTCTGGCTGTTGCTGGCGACTTTTACCGATTAGAGATTATTAGAAATAGACATTAAGATAAATTCACTGTAGACAGTTTCTTTTAGATCTTTATATTGAATTACAGCTTCATCCTTTTTAAATATCATAGTGTTTTTTAGAATATTTGAGGTGTATAATGTATAATTCTCCTTACCCTTTTACCCCAGCGTGCATGTATAGAATTTAATATTTGTTATAAATTAGTAAAAAACATAACATTTTCAAACTTCGCACATTTGAACAGTTCTGTAATATACTTTGATTTACGTACTGAAAACTTTGATACCCACATATTTACATTTCGTCCTTTATTTATTTTTTCCAATTATGTATTATCCAACAATGTTTATAAATACTATGTTGCATGTAAAAGCTCCCGACTCCCAATGCATAATAATAATATCTTCATGATTCATGTTTGAACGTCTAAAATGATGGTCATTACCATCATTTCAAGTAAAACGAACCGGTTCGGTTCGGGTTTACAGAGATCACATTGAACCTTCAAGGCTTCGGTTCGGTTGAACTAAACTGAACCAACTCAAATGGTATGTTTTTTTGCGTTTGGTTTTAGGGTTTCTCCACTTCGGGAACTTCGACTGTCAGCCAGGTCATCTCTCTCTGTCTGTCTGTCTTTCGCATTTGCCGACCCTATCACACTCCGCCACTCTCGCTCAGCCACCGTCGCCGTTGACTACTTACGCCATCGCTTCCTATTGTGAATTCAAATATATTGGATAGCCTTTTTCTTTTTTCTTTTTCTTTATCAGTTACTGTTTTCAGCGTCGAGAGAGCAAATCTGTATGCTGTCAGATTTTGCTGTGAATGGAGAAATGCTACGGTTGATATGGGCCTGATTTGCATTAGTCCTTGTATGGATGAAGCTGGCGGTAATGGATCTCCTTCATCTTCTCTTTATGTGAAAGTTAAAACGATAGAAGCATGTAGCCTTTCTTTTTAATCTCTATCATTTTACCAACTAAGACGATTCCTTATAAACTTATACTTGTCAGGAGGAGGAGGAGGTGGAGGAGGAGGAGGTGGAGGAAGAGGAGGTGGAGGAGGAGGGCCACGAGTCTCGTAGGAAGAGGCAGCTTAGGACACGAAAAGATAAGTAGAGACTTTGTCGGGCTACTGGTTACGAATGGGGTCCGAGCAGAATAGATTCCCTCAGCAGGAACGGGTATGAGTCCCCTCCCTCACTGATCGTTCTGCTAACATCTAGTTTATTGCACGGGAATATGGTGGATTTTGCACATTGTTTCTTATATAGCATTAGATCTAGGGTGCTCTAAACATCTTTTTACTTGTTTAGGCTTTGTATTTACTTTGAAGGCAATGTCACTCTTTTTTCTGCCTGTCCTCCCCTAAATCTAGTGTTGCGTTCTCTGCCAATCCCTTATTTCCTGACAAATCTATTCAATCCATCCTTCTTCTACGGAATTATTTTGCAGATGCGGATCCCATTTACTTGATAGTTTCTAGATTGCGTTTTGTTAGTTTTACCGATTTGACATGATGGATGTCACCTTCTTTTCCTTATCTGGCTTATGATCATTCCACCTATGCTTATCATTTCTTAACTAAAGTTTCAATTCTGGATCCCTTCTTTTAATGATAGTTTTGACTTACTCTTTCACTTATGTGCCAGCTGAAGGTTTATTTATTTTTTATTTTTTTAATAGTTTCTGTGGCTTGGGGTTTGTGGCTCTCCATGTAGATATATACAACACACGTACTATCATAGGTTGTAACAGGTTTGATTGAATAGCGTTCTTCGTTGTATTGTCTACTAAACAGTTTGCATTTGTGGCTGATAAATTTATTTTGACACCCATCCTTGTTGCTAAATGATTTAGTGGACTATTTCAGGAAGTAAAAAGGTAAGGTTCGGCGATGAGGGTTGATTTTGAGAAAGGCTTCCATAAGATTCAATTGGCAGTCGTTTTTGGTTGTTTTCAGGAGGCGTAGCTTTAGGGAGAGATGGATAAAGTGGAAGCAGTTGCTTTGCTAAAACTAATTTCTTACATTTATAGATGGTTGGCAGAAGGGGTAGTTTTAAAGCTTCTAGAGGCTTGAGACAGTGAGATTTGCTCTCTCTTGTTCTGTTAGTTTTGATATTCTTTTGCAGAATCTTAGAGTTGGATTCTGGATCCTTTGCAGTGTGCACTTGGATAAGAGTCTGGCAAACCATTTCAATTTGCTTATGATGTCCTTGTCTTCTGCACTAAACTTAATGAGTTGGAGACTCCATTAACAAAGATAAAACTGTATTTCAGGTGTTACTATGGAGTACCAGGAAAGTACAGGATTTGGGATGCCTCCTGCGGTTAATACTTTGATGTTGGACTTATGGACTCCAATAATTGAGAAATCCAGCATGAACTGGATATGTGGAAAGTTCCTTTCCTTTCAGAAGGGTGGCTGTTTATCTGTTCCTCAACAAGCTATCTTGTCCAGTATCCCAACCCACCCCTTTTGCTTTTTAAGTTTCCCAACCAAAGCGAGATCCTCAATTTATCAAGTGGGATATAGTTTTGTTGCGTTATGTAAGGGATTGTTAGGCTTCTGGATAATTTCGAGAACGACCCTTGCTTCCTACTGGGTTTGACATTTTTTCCTTCAGAGAATTTGCTTGTGGTATGCTGTGATTACCGAGTATTTATGTTGATGAAAGCCTTCTTTTGAATGTTTGGTTGGAAATTGTTTAGAGAATCTTTGAAGAAAAGCTAGATATTAGACAGTATTTGGAAGGGAATCAAAACTTTAGGCTGCTCTATAATATCTGTTATTGTCTTGTTCATTCTTTCTAATTAGTTCAGCAGTTCTTGTACACGTGCTTTTCATTTTTCTATAATAAAATAACTTTTTCTTATTTTCAAGTGAAAAATAAGTCAAGAAACAGAAAAGATAAGAAACATGTATCTCGAAAAAAAAAATTCTAGGATAATTAAAAAACTATTAGAGAAATGAAAGACTTATTGAGAACCAAATATAAGAAACCATCTGAAATGAAGAAGCATGATAAGTAAATAAACGGATACCAAACCCATTCGAAGAATGAGCAGATGAGGAAAAAGTGGCCACAACTGACTCTTCAACAGTAAAGCTAGATCTATAGACGGGCTTTTGGACCATGTTCTTTTGGTTGGGTTATTATGGTGATTTTTTTTTTTTTTTGCTTCTTTCAAATCTGTACTCTTTTTCTTTTGTGCCAACTGAGGTTATGTAGCTTCCTTATCGCGGGGGTTGGCTTTCTTACCCTATTTTCAATTTCCTATCTTCTATGAAATGCATAGTGTTTCTTATTGGGTAGAAAACAAAAAAACAAAACAAAAAGAACAAAGAACAAGTTGCAGCATCAGATTTCAAGATGAAGAAGCATATTTAAGATGAGAGAGAATTTCATAGGAGATGCTGTCATTTTGAGAAACACAGAAGATTACGTTAATTACTTTCTTAACTTTTCATATTACATTAGTTCTGGACACTGTTTCTGATAACCGAATCACTATGTGCTTTCTTTGTTTCTCATATTTTCACTGTTTTATTAATTAAGACCTACACCAAAGTTCACAGAAATTTCTTACAAGTTTCCTGACCTCTAATTTCAACAGTTCCGAGTTGTAATTTTAAACATAGTGAATGTATGTTAAGAGTATTTTTATTTTGGAAAATGAAGAAGTTAAAAGCTGTGGTATTCTGCACATTAAAAAGTTTTGTTGAACACTTGATTAGGTTTTTCTTATTCTTATCTTTTTATTTTAATGATGTTTGATTAAACACTTATAATTATTGCGGTTGATATTTGATTTACTGATCCCCACTTTCAGGGGCTTCTACTGAAGCGCCTAAATAGTCTACTTCCATTAAGAACATGCTCAGATTTGGAAGGCCTTTAACTCATGCTAAAACTGATATTGGACATTTTTAATGGATAAATTTGAAATAGTCATCTCTGCTGGCATGAACTTGTACAAAAGTTGTGAAAGGGGATGGTCCTAAATCTTTTGGTTTTCATTAACTGTTCTTTAATGAGTTGTTATGGTTACCTTCTAATACCTTCCTCTTTAGCAGGGAAAGAAATGGGGTGGATGCTGGGGTGCATTATCTTGTTTTCACTCTCAGAAAGGAGAAAAGCGCATTGTACCTGCATCTCGTTTACCTGAGGGAAATGTTGTGACAACCCAGCCAAATAGACCTCCAGAAGCCGGAATGGCCATCCAGGCTACAGTGATAGATCCATCCCTACTAGCCCCACCTTCTTCTCCAGCATCCTTTACAAATTCTGCACTCCCTTCAACAGCCCAATCACCGAGCTGTTTCTTGTCGATGTCTGCCAACTCACCTGGAGGTCCTTCATCCACAATGTTTGCTACAGGGCCATATGCACACGAAACACAGCTGGTTTCGCCTCCTGTTTTCTCAGCCTTCACCACTGAACCGTCAACTGCTCCACTCACTCCCCCTCCAGAACTAGCTCACCTGACCACACCTTCTTCCCCTGATGTGCCGTTTGCTGAGTTCCTATCCTCATCAATGGATCTTAAAGGAGCAGGAAAGGAAAATTACATTGCTTCAAATGATCTTCAAACTGCATATTCTCTCTACCCTGGAAGTCCTTCCAGTAGCCTCGTGTCACCAATTTCAAGGACCTCCGGTGACTGCTTATCATCATTTCCTGAGAGGGACTTTCCACCGCAGTGGAATCCTTCAGTTTCTCCCCAAGATGGAAAATATCCTAGAACTGGCTCCGGTCGGCTATTTGGACATGAGAAAGCTGGTACATCTTTGGTATCTCAGGATTCTAATTTCTTCTGCCCTGCTACATTTGCACAATTCTATCTGGACAATCCACCATTCCCTCATACTGGTGGTAGGTTAAGTGTATCAAAGGATTCAGATGTTTACTCGCCTGGTGGGAATGTATTCCAAAATCGGCACAATAAGTCTCCAAAACAAGATGTGGAGGAACTAGAAGCATACCGAGCATCGTTTGGTTTCAGTGCAGATGAAATTATAACTACTACACAATATGTGGAGATATCTGGAGTAATGGAGGATTCCTTTACTATGAAGCCTTTCACTTCAACTAGTCTGTCAGCAGAAGAAAGTTTTGAA